CATCTTCTTGATCTGCACTCTGTTCCTTATTGAATATGCAGTAACAGCTTTCCTCAGCTCAACCACATCAGCAAAGACCATGCCCACTTTAAACACAGGGGATTTCATGTCCACCTTGCAATTGAAAGCTTTGAACTTGTACTTAAGTTGCTCCTGTTCTTTAGTGGAGATGTCAAGATCTTCATCATCAAGTAGGTAGTCAGGCTCAACCTCTTCTTCCTCTAGCTCAGCTTGTTCATTAACATCAAAGTCAATGTTCTCTTCATAAAGGTCATCATCACCATCATCTATGTCATAATCACTGTCACTGAAATCTGAATCTGACAGCACTGTATGTTCAGATTCAGACTGTGCACCATAACTAAGCAAATTATCTTCATACTGCAAATCTGCTGCAACCTCTGAAAGGGGACATTCAACATTCATTGAAATGAGGCTGTGAGATGATGTTGCATTACCTACAACAACATTTGAGATGGCCATTGTGTCAGGGCTCTGAAATGATGGCACTATCAAATCTTCCCTAAAGTTACTGATGATATCTGAATGGTCCACCATGATTACAAGCACTTTATGCTTGGCACTTTCTCTGATCATTTGTTGCACATCTTCATCACCTCTAATTCTCACCATCCCATCTGAAATTGGTTTTCCAGGTCCTGGCCAGTAAATTATGTGCTCATGGACAGGATATCCCAGCCATTTTAGATGCTTTTCAATGACTGCATATGAGAATGACCCAGCATCAACATAATCAATCACCTCCACAGATGGACTGTAATATTCCATGCTATTTATTGCTCCACAGAAAATTCCAGCATGCTCAAGTTCTAGTGTAAAGAAAGGAGTATCCACACTCTGTCCCATTGCTGAATCACACACTGCACCCACAAAGAGCAGAATATAAGCACAAACATCAACATAACAAGAATATAGCAGAATATAAGCACATTCAGTTAGTTAACTGCAAACATTCAGTTAACTGCACCTTCTAAATGCAGTTAGTTAACTGCATCTTCTAAATGCAGAATACAAGCACATTCAGTTAACTACCATGCAGAATATAAGCACATTCACTTAGTTAACTGCAAACATCCAGTTAACTAACTCTTACAGATTTAGGAGAACAAGTCCAATACAACAAAGTGCAGCAATGTAGTTAACTGAAGAAATATCAGCTACTGCTTCTTCAAGTGCAGCAATATAGTTAACTGAAGAAATATTCAGTTAACTGCATCTTGCAGACTAGCTGAACAAATGTAGTAACAACTGAATATTTATGTTACACACATGACCTGTTCCACATAATTTTGCAATGCCTACCATGCGTACTAAATACAGAGCACCGGATGAACCCTAAACCTTTACCAATAATAGAAATACCTAAACCCTAGCCTGTAATCTGTGGTCAAAATCAGTTCTTTAGGCCGCCGGAAGAACAATAAGCAATAGAAACCACTCGATGTACAAGAACCGCTCTTAAAACAAGCCGATCCGCCGGTGCTACGTGCGATCAAGGAGGAGAAGAGAAGCAGAGGAGGAGGAACAGAGCACATGATAAAAACTAACCGTAGTCAGGCGGGAAGACACCGTACGGCCTAACTTGATGGACGGAAGGAGGCGGCTGCACACCGCCGGTGAGCTCCGGCGAGGTCGCCATGGGGGCTGACGCCAGCCCGCGGCAGCTCCAGCTCGAGCGGCAGCGTCTCGTCTCGCTCGGTCGGAGGGATAAGGACAGGAGGGAATAGGAGATAATGATTGACCAGGGGGAGACAAATTTATTTCAGGTGTTTTCGATGGCGAACTGCGGGTTGATAAGGCAATAAAGCAGGGGGCTAAGTGCAAAAAGTAGCGCGATGACCAGCCAGTCCACTTGGCAACCAGTTGGCGAGTTCTGATTGGGTTTGGACTAAATTTGCTCCTCGAGTGCAAGTTCAGGGATGAAATAGTTCACTTTTGCAAGTTCAGAGACTAAACCATCACCTGACATGCAAGTATAAGGACCTGGGGTGCTATTACCTCTTTGCTAACCTTGCTACGGCGTGCCGGTCCGAGTCGGACCCACAGACAACTAATTGTGGAGATATGTCCCTGAGTGAGGAGATCGCGCACGCCAGAGTGATTTGGGTCACTAGATCGGGGCCACCGGCGACACGAAAGGGAGTGGAAATTAGGAGACCTCGTCGGACTAGTTCGGATCGTGACACCCTGCTGACACGGCCGGGCAGGAATGACAAAGAGGTGAAACCCCACGCAAAAAAAAATGACAAAGAGGTGAAACCTTGTACAAATGGGTACGATTGGATAATTTCACCGTTGCGCTGCCCTAATAAGACTTAAATTGATGCATGGTCCTGTGGTGGAAACCTTGTTGAAATGGGTAGGGTTGGATAGTTTTACCGGGCATGCCCTACGGTGGAAGTTAGTTGAAGAAGATTAGAGGAAGTGATGAGTAGAACTCTGTCCCATAATATAAGAACATTTTTGATAGTAGTGTCTTTCAGTTCGCACCAGAACGTTCACTCCTAGCCACGCGACCGGGTAACTTAGATTTTTTCACACATATTATGAAATAACTTTGCTACAAAAATTCAAATGACAAAATGTTCGCAGCGCAGTCAACCCATACAACATCGCATGCATGCATGGATGCATCCAAGTACGGCAAGCAAACCTACAACTCGTGGAGTGATCGAGAGGGAGGGAGCATAGTACTTGGGTTGTGCATGAATGCCGCACAGGGATCGCCGGCTGCAGTGCTGTGCGTACCCTTGGATCACAGAGTTCAACGGATATAGTTCATGCATATATGACAGCGCCAAAATATGTGTACGATTGCTACTATACAGAACTACAGAAGCAGTGCTGTAGTCGGAGTGGTGCTTGTGTTTCTTGAAAAGAAGTCATGCTGCCGAAACATCTCTGCACAATGACCCCGCTGACCGGACCTATGCGTGCCCTGTCCCGTTAGTGCATTACCGACATGCATATATAACAGCTCCAGCGTGTACGCAGCGCAGGCATAGCGCTAGCTTGCTGACTTGGACAATCCATTAACCAAACCATGATTGAACAGTGCTCCGTTTGGAAAAGAAAAGAAGAGCAGGGTACTTGAAAGACTGAAATGTGTGTACATGTCGGTTATTCGTGTCTGAGGCTCATCTACACCCGATGAACAATAAATTAAAAGAATAGTAAAAAATCAAAAAATCTGCCTTTTTTTGCATCGAAGATGCTCAGGTGCACAAGAAGCATGCAAATTTTCGTGGTGTTTGGACATCTAAGGACCTCTAGGCAAAAAAAAATCGAGTCCTTATAGTGCTCTTTTCTTTAAAGCTTCTATATGGTTAGTTATCAATGAATGTATTGATCATCTGTTTAGGCACCAACAAATGTGAATTTTGTGATGCCAATGAATGTATTGATCATCTGTTTTTCACTTGTTTTTTTGCTCGGTTTCTTTGGAATGTAGTTGGGAGTGCTTTGGGAAATCCCCAAACACCCGTGTCATTCTTCGACTTTTGCCAGAATTGGCTTCCTAAGTATACTGGGAAAGATAGAATGGTTATAGCTATTGGTACGGCTGCTTTGCTGTGGTCGATCTGGAAAGCAAGAAACAAATCTTGCTTTCAAAGTTCTTTACCTAAGGATCCTACTGATATTATCTTCTCCTTATGTTCTGTGTAGGACTCGTGGGGTGTGCTACAGAAAAGAGGGGTGCAAAAAACTCTTAAGGAAGTGACCAAGAGGTTGGCCCAGATAGCGAGGGACGTCTTCAGGCGTGCTTATGGGTGGGGCCCTGCTGTACGGAGGCTCTGTTGATCAAGATGCAGCATTTGCGATGATCTCTCTTGTTCTTTTGCTATAGCACCCTGTAGGTGCGGAGTTTGGTATCTCAGGTGTAGGAGTTTATTTCCCTGGTGCAAAATGTTAGGCAACATATGTAGCGACGATGCTTTGGAGCGTTTTTTGTTGTAGCATCTTGTAGGTGCAGTTGAAGTGCCTCTAGATGTAGGAGTAGTGTTTCCTGATGCATATGTTAGGCATCGAAAAAGTTAAGTTTGTATGAAACTTGTTTTGTGTGCTGTGACTACATTTTCGTAATGAAAATGGGGGCCGTGTGACCCCTCTGATCGAAAAAAAAAGCTTCTTCCACAACCATATTTTGTTTTTGTCACAACCTCCTCAAGTGTCCAAACACCATGAATTTTTACACGGACAACACTCGTTCGAGTATCTTGGATGGCAAAAAAATTAGATTATTTTTATTATTTTCGCTACTTTATTTGATTTTGCAGTTTTTGTTAATTAATGCCTACGCATTTTGGGTATGGCTAGATCTCATCATTCGATTGACACTTAACCAAATCTTGGTCAAGTGACGATTTTTTTTTTTTTTTTGCATAGACCTTCATATAAGATCTCACGAATATAATATCGACTGAGACTTGTTTAAGTCATAGTCCACTAAGATATAGCAATCCCGATACAATTTTCGACATGCAAGTCTTCTCTCCATGGAACTTGCTAAGTTAACCTTCAAGTTTAATTAGACGTAGTACGTACCGGAGACAGACCATAGTCGACCACCTAGCTAGTTCCTCGATCTCTAGCTAGCTCGACCCATACGTGCACAGTTGACGGTACGTGCCCCACGAGCAAACGCCGACGCACGCGCAATCTAGCCAGCAGCCACTTCCCCAACTAACTCCCGTTAATCACCCTCGATCCACCACGTTGCCACGACCGCCGTACGCACCACCCTGATCTTCTGGATCGATCCGGCGTACATTTCACCACCGTACCTGACCAGTGAATGATCACTTGATCAGTAGGTACCCGTACCACATGTACACTTGGCTCTCTCCGTGCGTAACATCGTATATATAGCCAAGCCCAGGCACACCACGTCGTCACACGCAAACCACACGACCGACGACACGACTAAAACGGAAGAGTCGCCACACGAGTGTGACAGTACTTTCACTCGCGATCAAGCCATGGCTTTCGCGGCTCGCCGTAGCGGTGGTGGTGCACTGTTGATGACGCTGGTCGTGGCGGCGGTGGCCGGGCTGGCCGGCGCGGACTTCGCGGCGGACAAGGCGGAGTGCGCGGACAAGCTGATGGGTCTGGCGACGTGCCTGACGTACGTGCAGCTGACGGCGACGGCGCGCACGCCCACGCCGGACTGCTGCTCCGGGTTCCGGCAGGTGCTGGGCACCAGCAAGCGGTGCATGTGCATCCTGGTCAAGGACCGCGACGAGCCGGCGCTCGGGATCAAGGTCAACATCACCCGCGCCATGAACCTCCCCTCCGTCTGCAACATCGCCGCCACCTTCTCCGACTGCCCCAGTACGTAACGCACTACTACTCGTAGTCCCATAGGATCGGCCGGTTTGCCGGTGGTGGTGCTGCGCCACCGTGCGTGCATGGCTGCATGCTGAATAAGTATTTGACTGGTTTTGGATGCAGAGATCATCAACATGTCGCCGGACTCCAAAGAGGCGGAGATCTTCAAGCAGTATGCGCGTGAGCACGAGGGCAAGAACGCCGCCACCACTTCGCCCGCTGCCGCCGCCGCCGCCACCGGTACTCCTCTAGCCAGTTAACCGGCACTACTAACATTTTGTTCGGATCATACACGCACGTAACATACTGCTACAGTAGTAGTCTAGTACTAGTACTAACATGAGACTGGAAGAACGTACCCTACATGCATGCATGGCACACTCTACGCAACGCACATGGGATGGGGGCATGGGCTTCCTGGCTTCCCGCTGCTTGCTTGCACGAGCGCGACATGAACGGCCGGGTGACGGGTCGACGTGGACCAGTGTGACCGCGAGCGACCACAAGGCTCTGCACTTATGCTGAGAAAGATATGGGCAACAGTACGCATTCATTTCACAAGCCGTGCATTGCATGCATGTACGGTCCACCCAACTGTGCACGTGTCGTGTACCCGCCAGCCGCTATTTGGACCGTCTTAACTGAACTTGGTGCCCACTTTCAAAAAAAAAAAACTGAACTTGGTGGCCTGGGTAGCACGTAGTACTACGTGTAGCTGGCTAGCTGCAGCGACCTGCAGACCACCATATGCTCCCCTCTAAATAAATACAAGACGTTTTTTTCACTAAAGTAGTGACCTAGAACGTTTATAAAGTTTACTTGGCACGCTGCTCATTACGTACTCAGTAACGACTTCATGTAATTGTACCGGCAGCACGCGTGCATGCATGCACGACTCCGTTCGCTTTTGCGTTCCACGTTACCGACGTACGTTAAGCGCGTGCGCTTTTTTGGCCACCTGATCAGTTCTGGTGCTCTTGCAGTAAAAAGGAAAGAATCTGTGTGTAACTTCCGTGTACGCCTTGGCCGTGGGTTGTTGCAGGTACCACCAGCAGGAAGAGCGCGGACGCGACGTCCGGCGCAGGGAGGCGCACGGTGGTCTTCGCCGTCGTCTTCTCGGCTCTGCTTGCCTCCGTCCTTGTTCTCGCATGATGATAGGCTTTGGCTGCGACTGCAGGGAAAGGGACCAAGACACTCTTAAGTGTATTCGGCCTTCTGTTCGGCTTTCAGTTCGCTATGTAGCTGAGTGAATCCTCGCGGTAAAAAATGTTGCGCAGTTAGTGGGTTGCAAGTTTTTCTTCTCTCCCTCTCCTTCTCTCTTGTTGTTGCGAATGCTGAGTTGCCTCCCTGATCAGTTGATGTTGCAACTTGCAACTGTCCTACCGAAATTCCAAGATCTTGGGTCGACTACGATCAAGAGTTTCTCCCTTTTCTTTTTTCCTTTCGGGAGAAAGTGGTTGTGCAATCAATATGGGTAATTATTTTCTTAGATGATACTGGTACTGCCTCGATGTTCTATTAAGAATACACACAAGAATTGTGTGTTTTTTCATTGAGAGAGAGAGGGGAAAAAGATCATTTTACAACAGACGTTGGGTAAAGCCACAAGCGGCTACCCAGCCCCGCCACACCACGATCTCCGCGCGCCTTTGCCATTGTCCAGAGAGCTATGCCTGAGTGGGGTCAATGACAACTGTAGGAGTGAAAGAATATCATAAGACTTTGGCGGTTGAGGTGTCAATTCAACAACACTTGTGGCAAAAAATTGCTCAAGAAAACTTAACAGCAGCGAGACAATCGAGTTATTTGATTGTTGTATGTTGCAAAAAAAGTAAATATGACTAGAAAATACCCATCACTTCCAAGTATCAACTATTAAAGGGAGCAAACAGTTACAGAAAACATATACTTCCTCCATTCTTAAATATAAGTCTTTGGAGAGATTTCACTATGTGTTGGAAATATGCCCTAGAGGCAATAATAAATTAGTTATTATTATTATATTTCTTTGTTCATGATAATTGTTTATTATCCATGCTATAATTGTATTGATAGGAAACTCAGATACATGTGTGGGTACATAGACAACACCATGCCCTAGTAAGCCTCTAGTTGACTAGCTCGTTGATCAATAGATGGTTACGGTTTCCTGACCATGGACATTGGATGTCGTTGATAACGGGATCACATCATTAGGAGAATGATGTGATGGACAAGACCCAATCATAAGCCTAGCATAAAGATCGTGTAGTTCGTATGCTAAAGCTTCTCTAATGTCAAGTATCATTTCCTTAGACCATGAGATTGTGCAACTCCCTGATACCGTAGGAATGCTTTGAGTGTACCAAACGTCACAACGTAACTGGGTGGCTATAAAGGTGCACTACGGGTATCTCCGAAAGTGTCTGTTGGGTTGGCATGAATCAAGACTGGGATTTGTCACTCTGGTTGACGGAGAGGTATCTCTGGGCCCACTCGGTAGGACATCATCATAATGTGCACAATGTGACCAAGGGGTTGATCACGGGATGATGTGTTACTGAACGAGTAAAGAGACTTGCCGGTAACGAGATTGAACAAGGTATCGGCATACCGACAATCGAATCTCGGGCAAGTACAAATACCGCTAGACAAAGGGAATTGTATACGGGATCGATTGAGTCATTGACATCATGGTTCATCCGATGAGATCATCGTGGAACATGTGGGAGCCAACATGGGTATCCAGATCCCGTTGTTGGTTATTGACCGGAGAACGTCTCGGTCATGTCTGCATGGTTCCCGAACCCGTAGGGTCTACACACTTAAGGTTCGATGACGCTAGGGTTATAAAGGAAGTTTGTATGTGGTTACCGAATGAGATCCCGGACGTCACGAGGAGTTCCAAAATGGTCCGGAGGTAAAGATTTATATATGGGAAGTCCTATTTTGGTCACCGGAAAAGTTTCGGGTGTTATCGGTAATGTACTGGGACCACCAGGAGGGTCCCGGGGGTCCACCAAGTGGGGCCACCGGCCCCAGAGGGCTGCATGGGCCAAGTGTGGGAGGGGACCAGCCCCAGGTGGGCTGGTGCGCCCCCCGACAAGGGCCCAAGGCGCCTAGGGTTTGGGGAGGGGGTGCTTCCACCTGACTTGGGGGGCAAGTTTCCCCCCTCTCCCCCCTTGGCCGCACCCTAGATGGGTTTTGGGGGCAGCCGCACCCCTTGGGGTGGGAACCCTAGGGGAGGCGCAGCCCCCTCCCTCTCCCCTATATATAGTTGAGGTATTTGGGGCTGCATACACATGAGTTTTGACCTCTCCCGGGCGCAGCCCTACCTCTCTCCCTCCTCCTCTCTCGCAGTGCTTGGCGAAGCCCTGCAGGATTGCCACTCTCCTCCATCACCACCACGCCGTCGTGCTGCTGCTGGACGGAGTCTTCCCCAGCCTCTCCCTCTCTCCTTGCTGGATCAAGGCATGGGAGACGTCACCGGGCTGCATGTGTGTTGAACGCGGAGGTGCCGTCCGTTCGGCACTAGGATCTCCGATGATTTGGATCACGATGAGTACGACTCCTTCAACCCCATTCTCTTGAACGCTTCCGCTTAGCGATCTACAAGGGTATGTAGATGCACTCTCCTCTCTCTCGTTGCTAGTCTCTCCATAGATAGATCTTGGTGATTCGTAGGAAAATTTTGAATTTCTGCTACGTTCCCCAACAGTGGCATCATGAGCTAGGTCTATTGCGTAGATTCTATGCATGAGTAGAACACAAAGTAGTTGTGGGCGTTGATTTTGTTCAATATGCTTACCATTACTAGTCCAATCTTGATTCGGCGGCATTGTGGGATGAAGCGGCCCGGACCGACCTTACACGTACACTTACATGAGACAGGTTCCACCGACTGACATGCACTTGTTGCATAAGGTGGCTAGCGGGTGCCAGTCTCTCCCACTTTAGTCGGATCGGATTCGATGAAAAGGGTCCTTATGAAGGGTAAATAGCAATTGACATATCACGTTGTGGTTTTTGCGTAGGTAAGAAATGTTCTTGCTAGAAACCCATAGCAGCCACGTAAAACATGCAACCAACAATTAGAGGATGTCGAACTTGTTTTTGCAGGGTATGCTATGTGATGTGATATGGCCAAAAAGAATGTGATGAATGATATGTGATGTATGAGATTGATCATGTTCTTGTAATAGGAATCACGACTTGCATGTCGATGAGTATGACAACCGGCAGGAGCCATAGGAGTTGTCTTAATTTATTGTATGACCTGCGTGTCATTGAACAACGCCATGTAATTACTTTACTTTATTGCTAACCGGTAGTCATAGTAGTAGAAGTAATAAGTTGGCGAGACAACTTCATGGAGACACGATGATGGAGATCATGGTGTCATGCCGGTGACGATGATGATCATGGAGCCCCGAAGATGGAGATCAAAAGGAGCAAAATGATATTGGCCATATCATGTCACTTTTTGATTGTATGTGATGTTTATCATGTTTATGCATCTTATTTGCTTAGAACGACGGTAGTAAATAAGATGATCCCTCATTAAAATTTCAAGAAAGTGTTCCCTCTAACTGTGCACCATTGCGAAAGTTCGTCGTTTCGAAGCACCACGTGATGATCGGGTGTGATAGATTCTAACGTTCACATACAACGGGTGTAAGACCGATTTACACACGCAAAACACTTATGTTGACTTGACAAGCCTAGCATGTACAGACATGGCCTCGGAACACAAGAGACCGAAAGGTCGAGCATGAGTCGTATGGTAGATACGATCAACATGAAGATGTTCACCGATGATGACTAGTCCGTCTCACGTGATGATCGGACACGACCTAGTTGACTCGGATCATGTAATCACTTAGATGACTAGAGGAATGTCTATCTGAGTGGGAGTTCATAAGATGAACTTAATTATCCTGAACATAGTCAAAAGCCCTTTGCAAATTATGTCATAGCTCGCGCTTTAGTTCTACTATTTTAGATATGTTCCTAGAGAAAATATAGTTGAAAGTTGATAGTAGCAATTATGCGGACTGGGTCCGTAAGCTGAGGATTGTCCTCATTACTGCGTAGAAAGATTATGTCCTTAATGCACCGCTCAGTGTGCTGAACCCCGAACGTCGTCTGTGATGTTGCGAACATCTAACATACACGTTTTGATAACTATGTGATAGTCCAGTTAAATGGTTTAGAGTTGAGGCACCAAAGACGTTTTCGAAACATCGCGGAACATATGAGATGTTTCGAGGGCTGAAATTGGGATTTCAGGCTCGTGCCCACGTCAAGAGGTATAAGACCTCCGACGATTTTCTTAGCCTGCAAACTAAGGGAGAAACGCTCAATCATTGAGCTTGTGCTCAGATTGTCTGAGTACAACAATCACTTGAATCGAGTGGGAGTTGATCTTCCAGATGAGATAGTGATGTTTCTCCAAAGTCATTGCCACCAAGCTGCTAGAGCTTCACGATGAACTATAACATATCAGGGATAGATATGATGATCCTTGAGATATTCGCGATGTTTGACACCGCGAAAGTAGAAATCAAGAAGGAGCATCAATTGTTGATGGTTGGAGAAACCACTAGTTTCAAGAAGGGCAAGGGCAAGAAGGGATACTTCATGAAACGGCAAATCAGCTGTTGCTCTAGTGAAGAAACCCAAGGTTGAACCCAAACCCGAGACTAAGTGCTTCTGTAATAAGGGGAACAACCACTAGAGCAGAATTACCCTAGATACTTGGTAGATGAGAAGGCTGGCAAGGTCGATAGAAGTATATTGGATATACATTATGTGAATGTGTACTTTACTAGTACTCCTAATAGCACCAGGGTATTAGATACCGGTTCGGTTGCTAAGTGTTAGTAACTCGAAATAAAAGCTACGGAATAAACGGAGACTAGCTAAAGGTGAGCTAACGATATGTGTTGGAAGTGTTTCCAAGGTTGATGTAATCAAACATCGCACGCTCCCTCTACCATCGATATTGGTGTTAAACCTAAATAATTGTTATTTTGTGTTTGCGTTGAGCGTAGACATGATTGGATTATGTCTGTCGCAATACGGTTATTCATTTAAGGAGAATAATGGTTACTCTGTTTATTTGAATAATACCTTCAATGGTCTTGCACCTAAAATGAATGGTTTATTGAATC